ACAAATAAAACAAGAAACTTCAATCTCAAAAAAAAAAAATTAAAGTAACTGCTTTAGAATTTGTAATGAAGCGGCTTAACGCAAGTAACATTTATTTTGCTAAGTTTATTTTCGCTTAGAACAATTTTTAGTCACTAACTTGAGAAACCTAAAGGTAATCTCAAATAACTGGAATGATGCTGCATGATTAACTAAACCAGAAGAATCTGTTATAGGGTAAAAAAAAATTTTTTTAATTTATAATAAATACTGAAAAAGTATCATCACAAAGTGGTGCATTTGATCATCAACGAAGGGCTCAGCAGACACAATCAAACCAAACATTTCTAACAAAAGAAAGAGGTCATTGCACTGGTTGTCATGACAGACACACAAGAGAGAAAATCATCTTCTGATCTCCATCCCATTACTACAACCCAGGTGTGTGACAAGAGCCACGTGCACAGTGCAGTGGCCGTCATGCGTTACCTGTATTTCTGTTACACTTAAGGCCCTACTGCTTAAGGGCCTGGTTATTAAAAAACAAAACAGAACCCTGAAACACAAAAACCAACCAAACAAAAACCAAAGTTTAAACCTTTGAAATATTTAAAATTCAGCTTTATTCATTGATTTTCCTCAGAAATACCTATATTCCTGGGGTATCTTCACCCACACGAACGTGGCTCAAGCACGTCTCCCCCCCCCAGCCCCGACCCTGGCACCCCTCTCTCTGACCACCTACAGACCCCTTGTCTGTAGTACAAGCAACGGCCTCTCCACTATAGTTCTAACTGAGCTCCAGAACGTGTGTTTACACGTTTCCTAAAAACTTACACTTAGGCTAAAAATTACTCTAGGCCCTCAGAGAAATGTGCCCAAGGAAATGCACTATTCTGCTAGATATTTTTGTAAATCTGTTAACCTTATACTTATTTTTATAGAGAAACTTTGTCTAGATTTCAGAAATAAACTCTGCGTGTATTCAACATCAACTGTAACTGTGCCCCTACTGGAGATGATCTGATAACTACATTTCCTCCTACAATGAGATTGGAAGGAGGGCCTGGTACCCCGTCATCACGAGCTGAGAACTGTCTGAAGGCATCCAGACCCCCATTCTTCCTGCTTGCTGGCCTCCATGCCCCTTACTCAAAACCACCTAAGAGTGCGTCCAGAACAGTACAGTTCACAGTGACCAGCTCACAGCAAGCGTCTGAGAGTCCAGCAACTCTCAAGGTCACTGCTCACTCTTGGGGGGGGGGGGGCCTGCCTTTCCTCCTTGCATTCTTCCAAGCCCCAGCACCTCTCCGTACCTTGCTCGGGCATCTGGGGGGGGGGGGGCCCTGCCTTTCCTCCTTGCATTCTTCCAAGCCCCAGCACCTCTCCGTACCTTGCTCGGGCATCTAATTCATTTAAAGACAATCACTAAGCACTATGTCCCAGACAATAAAAGACAAATAAAACACGTCTTTGCCTATGATGGGGTCAGGGTCTAGTGGACAAGAAGGTTTCTAAAATCATTACATCTATTTAAAGACTATCCACAATAGTGAGACATATGGTGGGCTAGAGAACTCCGAGGAAGAAGAGTCCTGGAGTAGCCAGGGAAGGCTTCTAGGAGGTGGCGGCATCTGAAGCCAGCCTTGAAGATCAGGTAAGAACTTTTCAGTTATGAATGTAAATAGGGGAATCAGACAAGTCCCACTTTCTCCATCTTCCGAAGTGATTCTTCATCTGTACCTGGGGTAACCTTCCTTACACTGTTATTGAAAGGCAATATAGCCTAGAGGACAATAATGACCTGAGTTCAATCCTAGCTCCATCATTTTCAAGTTGTGTGACACTGAACAAGTGTGTTCACCTCTCTGAATTTCTTTCCTCCTATCTGTGAAATGGGGAGACGACAAAGACCTCGTGAGATCGTCGTAGGGATTAACGAGGTAATACCTAACGCTGTGTACAGCACGCTGAGAACCTAACAGAGACCCGTCACCTCCTAGCTGTGTGTGACCTCGCCTGCCCTGCTCTCTGCCACTCTGGCTGGCACTGGGTTTGCCAAGTCCCTGCTTCAGCGCTCGCTGTCGCACAATGTGTGCGTTCAGTCACCTGCTCAGAGAGACTCCTCTTGACCCCAGCTTTAAACAGTCCCACCCCTCGCTCTCCATTTGCCTGCTTTATTTTAACTCAGCGTCCGCCTGTCTCCTCCACAGAACGTCAGCTCCACAAGGGGAGGGCCTGGCTTTGTTCACTATCGCACCCCAGCATCTGGAACAGTGCCTGGCACACAGCAGGCACTCAGATGTATCTGTTGACGGAATTACCGTAAAACAGGAAATGTAAAACTGGAGTAGTATCCACCTTGTAGGGTTTGCTGGGGCCAAACGAGACGGACCCTGACAGAAAAACACGTCGTCACGGCCAGCACACAGACTGAGCCTCAGCCACCGCCCACCAGCCTGGAGACGGATCAGCTTGCGGTGGGGGACAGACGTGGCGCTCTGCAGGGTCTGGGGTGGGGGGTGGTGGTCTCCCCTCAGTGTCAGCGCCACACCCACGCGGTGCCGGGTTTCCAGGTTGCTAGGTAAGGAAAAACCCCGGGGTTTAGCAACAGTACTGGCTTTCTTGGTGTCAACTTGATAACTTATGGGCGACGTGCAAGACATAGCTCCTGGCTGGCCAGGCTGCTGAGATGTTATTCTCTAGTCTTTGTGGAAGACACAAATAAAGCACACTGTGAGCCCACGTCCACAAAAGGGAGCAAGGCCATAGGCGGGCTGACGAAGGGTCAACAGGAATCTAAGAAGTCAGGGCCGTCACTGAATATCCACAAGACGCCGAGAGTTCTTCCTGGCCTGTCTCGGTGAACTACCAAAGCGGTGGTCACGTGTGAAACAGCATCCAGTACTGACTCTAAAGAACGAAAGACCTTGACGAGTGACAATGGAAAGGACAAGGACGTGCCGGACGGTGGAGCAGCTCAAGCAGAAGGACAGAGGGAAGGAGGCGGGGCGGAGGGCTGGACGCCCGACTTTGTTTGGCTGAAGAGCAATGTGGTGGGGGGTGGCTGGCAAGGCAGGCTGTGCACAGACCACGGGAGGCCTCTGGGGGCTGAGCTGAGGGGCCGAAACTTCTCTGACGGACTGTGAGTCATTCCTGGAGCTCCTGCCCAGGGAAGTGCCTATTTAAATTCAGTAAAGGTGGTAGCCATCAGGCAGCTACTGTGGAGAAGGGGCAGAAGCATGAATTTCTAGCCAAGGGATAACCAGGGAGAAGCAAGGAAGGCAGACTCAGAAACGAGGGGTTGGCCGGGAGAGGTGAAACCGGCAGGTGCTGTGGGGAGCAGCTGTGAAAAACCTCCTCTGAGGACGCCAGGAAATGGAAAGAACAAGACCTGAAGCTTCTGCGAGGCCTGCTGTGTTTCATCACTAGCTGGAGTCATGATGCGCCCAAGAGGGCGCGTCAGCTCCGCATCACGCGGAGCAGCTGTGAAGCACACGTGCGGCAGCCACGGCGGTGAGGGCCACCAGTGCCTCCCGGGCCTCACTCCCAAGCCTGCTTCCCGTCTGGCAAGGAGAGGGCCAGAGCGCTTACGAATTGCTCAAAGCTGGCTCAATCTCGCCTCTTCCATGGAACACGCCACAGAATAGCCTTTGATGCCCAGCGACTGACAGGGTCCTTCACCACCTCGCCGCTCTGGCATGGGTGGCCCCTCTCGCCCCGCCGGAGGGCCTGCTCTCTGCCTGCTCCACCTCCTGCTCCGCCACAGATGGGACATGAGCGCGCTTAGCGGCCCCGCGTCACCGCGGGGGTTCGGAGAGCCCCGTGGAGGCGGTGTGCATGCCGGCAGCCCTGCAGCCCGCCGGGCGTCTGGCACTGCCCAGCAGTACCAGCTCCAGCCTTAACACCACTCTCCCCCATCAGGAAGGGATCGGTTTCCTGAGCCGCAGTGCTCCGGCCCACACACACCTGCCCCACGCGGTTCATCACTGGAGCATCTTTGCTAAGCATACGGATACGAGCACAGATATTTCTTGAGAAGGGGGCTGTGAGAAGTTTGGGGACAATAAAAAAAAAATAAGCAATTCTATTTGTACACTGGAACACTAGAAAATAATTCAGTCATCAACGAGGCAAAAGCACAAAACTATATTTTAGGTAAAAATTAACTCAAGGTAAATTAAACTAACAGGAATTAGATTTCTTCTAAGTCAGATTGTCAGATACTAGAGTTTTAGGAAGATGTATTTTAGAAATGTGATACGCATAAGAACATATTATATGTGTGTGTATGGATATACATGTATACGCATACATGTATAAATATACACACATAGTATATGTATCAATATTTTAAGATACCTACACCTGGGTCCACAGAAGATGCTTTTTGCTTTTTCCCCACCTTTCCTCTATTTTTCACATTTTTAAATGGGGAAAAAAGGCACATGTATTTTGAAAACATACCAAGGAAAGCACACCACACTCATCACACCAGCAAATAGTTAAGATAATGCTTATGTCAACATCTTAACTATATTTTTAAAAAAGCAATATTCAAACACTGTTTTATGTTAATTGTTAAAGACAAAAGCTGTTTAAAAAAGTTTCACATTTCCTGAACTTCAAAAAATAATGAATATACAAAGTATATTATGTTAATTTCTGCTGCATTACAAAGATGTTATAATTGCAGTTTCAAAAGTAAAAATTTTCACTCTAAATATAATTAAGATGGAATTAAAACTGGAAATTAACTTGGAATTCTATACAATCCTGTGAGTAATCTAGTATTATACACGTATGTCTCATATTAAAAAAAATCAGTGAGCTATATTTAAACCTATTTCATGATGGTAAAATTATGCAAATTTAAAAAATTATTAATAATTTTAACGTTTAATTTTTGTAAGCTATTCTAGAAAGAAGTAATCCTAATAAAAATGAGCAGACGTCTAACACATGGCGATTTCCTACCACCGTGGTGGGCCCCTCTGCCTGACGCCCGTGTGGCCTCTTACCTGACACAGAGACGGCGTGGGTCCGAACGCCCTGCTTCTCGCTGTTGGCCAGCCTGGAACAGAGGTGCAAAGCCATGAGTGCCATGCTCTTCAGACCACACCGCCAGCATTCATTCAAACCGTGAGCTGCCCAGAATCAGGACGACTGTGCCATTTCCCAGGGAGACTGCACAGTCTAGAGGGGTGATTTTGTAAAACACTAGATTCTACCACCTGAGGCCCTTAAAGTCACCAGACTGATTTAATGTTTTAAAGACCAGAAATTAAGACAGAGAAGTGAAGGAACGCTGGACTATAACATGACTGAATGCGGTGTACGTGGCTCAGATTAACTTTAATTTAGATGCTGGACTGCAAGGGAGTGGCCCAAGTTATACCACAGAGGGAACAATGCCTGGGACTGAGATGCGAATGTGAAACACTGTTACACGACTGGCCCTGCTTCAATTTCGAGCATGTCCAAGAGCAGGCAGCACATGGACATATATTGTTATTATTTACAGACTGAAACAAGGTAAGCTTAACGCATCCGGTTGTTTCATGAAACGGCTCGACAACGTTAGTGTTTTACATACATACCCACGTAAAATAACATTTTGGCCAAAGGTTTCAGTGACATTTAGAAAAAATCCAAGTATAGTTCAGTTTAAAATTTTTGGAAAAGCATAAAACAGAGAAAAAAGGAACCCTATAGTCTTTATTTATTTTTAAAAATATTTTTGTTGCATTTCTTTAATTAATTAATTTATTTTTAAATCTATTTCTTTATTGATTTATTTTTGGCTGCTTTGGTTTTTCGTTGCTGTGCACGGCTTTCTCTAGTTGCGGTGAGCGGGGGCTCCTCTTTGCTGCGGTGCACAGGCTTCTCACTGTGGTGGCTTCTTTTATTGTGGAGCACGGGCTCTAGGTGTGTGGGCTTCAGTAGTTGTGGCACGTGGGCTCAGTAGTTGTGGCTCGTGGGCTCTAGAGCACAGGCTCAGTAGTTGTGGCGCACGGGCTTAGGTGTTCCGCGGCATGTGGGATCTTCCGTCTGGGCTTCAGTAGTTGTGGCCCGTGGGCTCAGTAGTTGTGGCTCGTGGGCTCTAGAGCACAGGCTCAGTAGTTGTGGCGCACGGGCTTAGGTGTTCCGCGGCATGTGGGATCTTCCCCGACTGGGGCTCCAACCCGTGTTGCCTGCATTGGCACGTGGATTCTTAACCACTGTGCCACCAGGGAAGCCCAGAACCCTATAGTCTTTAGATGTCAAAGTTACTTTGCTCTTTTTATAAAAGAAAACTTTTCCTGCTACATAAGCCTTTACTCTAGAAGTACTAAATAAGAATTTTTCCTAGTATATAGAATTTATATATTAGGTAATACGGGAGCTTAAAATAGTATATCCCCATTGAGAACTAGAAATATTCAATATGCAGCTGCATAACCTCTATAACTAAGGGTTACAGCACAAAGCCATAGCCCTGAGTTCCTTTTATGGAATTCTCTAAATATGTGAAATGGTATCTTTATTACCAAAGCTTAACCAAAGTCGTTTTCTAACAAATCACCAGTTCCTCTTCTGTTGCAGCTCCACGACTTATTCTCACCATCTCTGAACCACGTTTCTCGGGAGGTCACAGGTGCACACCCACAACAAGCAGGTCACATCACCTGCCTGTGCACCCTGTTGACAGGACCCCGGGGTCCTCCGGGGCTGCGGGCTGGGATGCTACTGCAAACCAACTTACAACCGCAGGGACAGCTGCGCTTCTCTCACCAGTGACAGTAACAGGTCTGCTGCTCTATGATTTGTGGAAATTCTGCTCTTTTAAAGTTTGCTTTATTCGTTCACTTTTCCTAGGATTTGTTAGCACTTCTAACCGACTCCCTTCTTCCTGACTTTTTTATGTGTTTATGATTCCAGTGTGTCTTGATCCTCAAAGTCATGTCTTAAGACTTTCCACAATTGAAGATACTCTGAGCATTAGTTCCTTGCCTGATGTGGGACATTAACAAATATCTACTAAATATTGTTGAGTTTGTGAAACACAAGGCCTAAAAGCTAAGAGAAAGCTGGTCTCGCCCATCCCTCCACTCGCCTGCCCAGCTACTGTGTACCTCCTGTGTGCCTGATACGGCCCAGTGTCGGGTCTACCACGTCACGTGACCCTGGCCGTCAACGAGGCCACAGGGTGTGAGCAGCAGAAAGGTAACTGTTTAATGTGAGATAAGTTACAGGAAAACACACAGGGCTGCTCCTGGGACTGGGGTGGTGGGAGGTTTCCAGAGGCAGGGATGCAGGATAAGACTTGAGCAGGGCCCTGCTGAGGACAAGGCCGGAGGGAAGGAAGGACTCCAGGAACTGAAGGCAGTTCAATGTGAACGAAGAGTGAGCACGAGGAACGGGAGATGAGGCTGGAGGAGCTGGCGGGGACCGTCGTGCAGCCTCCCGCCGGCTGGCTGAAGGATGTGGGCCTGAATCTAAGAGCAGCAGCGGTCACGTGAGGGGTTCGAGAGGAAAGGTCCCTTCTGCTGTTGTAGAGAATGGATGGGACGGTAGGCAACATGGGACAGGCAAAGATGGGTAGGAGGTGTGCAGGAAAATGGGAACCCAGAAGACCTGAGACTGCTGTCCTTTGAGGTGGGCCCTTGGCTGCTGTTTAGGAGGGCTCCCACCAACCCCTAACTAGTAAGTGTGGTTCACTGTCCTTACACTGTTTGTACAAATAATATGGTTCGTGCTGAACTCTTGCCTTCCTTCTGGGAGTCTGGAATTTGGGTACACGCCAAGCAAAGTGTGCATACATGACCAGGCCCCCATAAAAGCTGGGACACCGAGTCTCTAACTAGCTTCCCTGGTAGACAATACTCCACGGCACCACAACTCATTCCAGAGGATCAGGTGTACCCTACCTGAGCCCCTGAGAGAGGGCTCTTGGGAGCCTGCCCCTGGCTTCCTTGGGACTTCATGCCATTGCTCTCTGCCTGGCCAGTTTTGCTTTGTGTTCCCAGGCAGCCATACATCACAGCTGAGAGTATGATTATGTGCTGAGTCCTGGGAGTTCTTTCTAGAGAATCACTGAATGGGGTAGTCTTGGGGACCTCGACACAGGAGTCTACTGGAGGAGCCCAGGCAGGTGATAACAGCTAAAAACCGGGGAGGGATGGTGGGAATGTGAAGTGGATAGATCTGCTAGTTAGGAAGCAGAAAGGAAGGAACTGGCAGCAGACCGGTGATAGAGGAGAGAGAGTGACAGAACAGAGGTGACGCCCAGGTTCCACCCTCTTTATCCCTATATGCAGTGGCCTCTCAGGTGCTGTATTCTCTGCAGGTGCCTTGGGATTCTCTTCAAATCTCCCTCTGAGCGCTCAGCACACAGCTATAATTGTTTATTTACCTGTATATCTCAATTTCTAGATCGTAACTTTCATTTGGTCCCCAATTCCTAGCACAATGGCTGAGAACAGAGAAGTGTTGGCATTCTTTTACTTGTACAGATTGAAACATCTACTATGAAATTCATGACATAAACAAATTTAAAAATTAACATAAATTACATATCTTTAATTTTCTCACTTGTAAAATAGCCAGAATGGTATCTATTTTCAGGTTCTTATAAATATTGTCACTGACTATAAAGTGACTGTTTGACAACAGACCTCCCTCATACGATCTCACT